TTTATTTATTTGACAGAGAGAGACACAGCGAGAGAGGGAACACAAGCAGGGGGAGTGGGAGAGGGAGAAGAGAAGCAGGCTTCCTGCCAAGCAGGGAACCTGATGCGGGGCTCGATCCCAGAACCCTGGGATCATGACCTGACCCAAAGGCAGACGCCTAACGACTGAGCCACCCAGGCGCCCCTGAATGCTTAATATTTTTAATCGGCTTTATAATATTACATATAGAGCTGTATTAAAATATTCCTGAATATCCACTTTGTTCCCTTAGAAATCTACAGTACACAAACTCTCCACAAACAAAATGGATTTGACTCCCCCTCTCCAGATGACTATTTATGCCTTCTTCAATTTAATGAAAGACTTCACCATAAACTTATTCCTCACTTTGAAGGCATGAGAATGCACCCTGTGCATTCTCCAAACTCATTGTTACCAAATGGTCAAATGACATAATGACTACAAACAGAAAAATTCACCTTGCGCAGATCCCAAACTCCATGCAATTTATTCCAAGACGCTGTACATTTAAAATTTTTTGACACTCATTTTATGTCTTTTAAAAACCAGCACACACATCGTTTTGTGCTTTCCTTTTCCACAATCCAATTCAATATGGCCATTTTCACATCAAAATGTTAAAATATCTGAATCTCCCTCCATAACTTCCTATGACACATGAAGAGTATCTGAGATCTAATGTTCAAAATTCTTTAACATGGTCCACAATTTTCTCTACTACCCAAACTGAATTTGTCATCAGCTTGACCTCAGGCTAATTCACTTTTACCTGGGTCCATTTTTTCTTTAGTTTCTTGGATGACCAAGAAACTCATATGCTCTTTATTTTTGATGAATTTCTCCTAAAATCTCATGCTTAGTTACCACCTGGAACTTTTGTCAGACTGAAAGTGACACACTCAAATCTCTCTCCATAAATTTTAGATTGTTTTAAGGATATACTGTTTAATTACTGGAATGATTCTGAACTTGTCTACTGTAAGTAAGCATTAATAAAATTCAATTATATATCTATATGATAAATGTATATAACAGTTCATAAAAAAAGGAGGGGGCAGCCCTGGGTAGAAAAAAAATGGGTGAATATGGTCAAAAGGTACAAACTTCCAGTTAAATAAGTCAGGGGAATACAATATACAAAGAGGACAGAACTTAAAAGTTGTCATCACAAGAAAAAAAAAATTTCAACTACCTGTACTGACAAATGTTAACTAGACCTTTGTGATGATTATTTCACAATATATGTAAACAAAAAATCATTAGGTTGTACATCTGAAACTAACGATGTTACATGTCAGTTACATCTCAATTAAAAAAAAAGATTCGGGCGCCTGGGTGGTTCAGTCGTTAAACGTCTGCCTTCGGCTCAGATCATGATCCCAGGGTCCTGGGATCGAGTCCCGCTCGGGCTACCTGCTCAGTGGCAAGCCTGCTTCTTCCTCTCCCACTCCCCCTGCTTGTGTTCCTTCTCTCACTGTGTCTCTGTCAAATAAATAAAATCTTAAAAAAAAAAAAAAAGATTCATAGCCCAGGAACTTAAGCCTAAATTAGACACCCATGAATGTATATGATGACAGATATAAGTTAAATCCAAATATAAGAGGAAGATACCATAGTCCTTTATGACACCAAACACCTTACCCTAGCTTTTCTTTCAACCTTTTCTCTTTTGTCTTAATTGCATTATAATCTGAATAGTTAAAATCTGAAAACAATTTACTTTTTATAGATGCAACCTTTCTATGTGGCAGTTGCTACCACAGCACACCATTTTTAAAATCACCATCCCTTCCACCTTCTGTCAATCCACCTGACTCTCTTCCTTCTAGAAACATTACCTACACTTGACTCTGGTCATTCCCTTACTTTGCTCCTCCTAGTAGCAAGTACATGTCTTTGGTCTACTGTCTAACCTTCCAGACTTAGGTTCTTTGAACATTAATTCCTTGGAATTCAACGTCTATTCTTTAGAATAAAAGTATTAATGCTGAAAGGGATTTCAGAGATGGTTTGTTCAATTCTCTGATTTAACGCATTAAGAAACTGAGGCTCAGGAAAGATAAGGACCTTGTCCAAAGTCACATAGCCAGTAGCAGAGTCTGGATAAGAGTTTGGCCACTTGATTCCCAATTTAATATACTTAGTTCCTCTCTAGCATTCCTGTTCTTCCATTAAAAAAACTCCGCAACTTATTGTGGGCCTGGTGTTTTGCAAAGTTTTGGAATACTAAGATGAATATGAATGATTTTACTATATATTTCACTTGTCTTATTTATTGGCTCCCTCCACAAGTAGAATGTAAGCTCCACAAGGGAAGGGATTTGTGTCTATTTTGTTTACACTGTAACATGACTGCCTGGCACATGGAAGGCACTAAATATTTGCTGAATGAATATGATGTGGCTACTGTCCCTGAAACTCCGTTTACCTAATAGACACACTCAAAATTAACTATGTGATGTGAAGAATGCTATTACCAAAATAAGGAGACGGAGCCACACTGCAGAAATATAGAACCTTTGAACCTGAGGCACACGGGAGAGCCTGGGCTTTGTAGGGTAAATTTGCCAGGAATAGTAGAAAGGAAGGAAGAGCACCCCAGCAGAAGAAACAGTATGATGCCAGAAAAGAGCATGTCAATGAAGGTAGGCAGGACAGGGAGTGGGATGTTGGAGGACTGCAAGGTGGGAGGCTCAGAAGGGGTTTGAGAGAGATTCAGGCTTACTGTGTATAAACAGCAGACTGTGAGAAATGTGGCCTGACACCTGGCAGAAAAATTGCCACTGGATATACAGACTCATTGGTTGAAACCATGAAAAGAGCACTGTTTAGGAAACTACGCTTAGGGGGTAATCTGAATGTGAGTAGACTATCAAGTTGCATCCAGAAGTCTCTTCCCAGAGTATCAAGTCCCACATATTACATGACAAACTTGCATCCACCTGTTTGCCCATGTGCCTGCCTGTGGCTCCTACTTGACTGATTTCATGTTAACCGTTCATATTTAGGATAATGGTGGTATACTCCTGGAAATTCAATTCTAATATTGACTTACAGCTCTCTCCATTCTTCTCAACTATAAACATTCCTAAGTATATTTATATTTTCAGTTATATGACAACAATAACTGATATCTAACAACTTACCATTACTTCTTAGAGAAAAGGTGTGTGCTGTGTCTCCCAGTCTAATTATTTCACCGGTGGATTCTGTTTCATCTCCATCCCAAGAGGGGCCCAAAGCCTCAGATGACAAGGAGCACCTGAAAGAGTTCCCTTACTTACTTGGGGCCCAGCCTAACCATAGAGGGCCCCTCCCAAGGACCCCGAGAGTTCCTCCTAACAGCCTGTCTACGGGTATTCAGACTGCTCGTTGTTATGTGCAGAAAAAGAGCAACATACTCCCTTCTGCTGCTTATCACTTCTTGCTGCTTGTCTGTTTTGACTGATATATGTATGGGGGAACTAACTGTGTTCAAAGTGTCAAGGATTAAATGCATAGGAGAATCCACACAGAAAACAATAAACATTGGATATTCTAGGGGTGTGGGAGTGGAGTCTGGGTAGGGTATTAATTTTGCACTAAATAGTCTTGTGTTGTTTCACTTTTGTACTTTTTAAAAAAATCTAATAATAAGAAATAAAGTCAGGAAATTCATCTTATGGTGGTCTCCTTTAAGACATGTTTTCCACAATGTACTATACCTAAATAGGAAAGCGCAGCCTGTGATTTTCAAATCATGACAAACTCCATAAAAACATGGAGAATCAGATATTTAAAACAAAGTCATAGCATCATATTCAACCTCTAGTTATAACTACCATCAAATCTGTAATGACATATTTTTTCCATAAAAGTCACAGAAATTTTAAAACTCTGTTATTTGTTAACAATATTGATTCATGAGAGTGCAGTAACCCAGCAATTTTATACTGCCGGTGAGTGTATAAACCACCACCACCTTTTTGGAAAGCGACTGCTTTTAAAAGCTTTATAACATTCATTCTCTTTGAATGAGTTTAAAGAATAGCTTAAAGAATAAAGAATAGCTTAAAGAGTAAGTAAAAGTATATATCACATTTTTAAAACCATAAAAAACACAGGAACAGCCACCTCCACTTCAGAGGAGTGGTTTAGCCAATTATGAAACACACAATATGAATGGTCTGTTATATGGTGATTAAAAATTATTACAAAGATTTTAACAACTTGAAGACTATTGATGTGTAAAGCTTAAAATGCAAAAAACAAAATTATATAAACAATATAACTAAATCCAAAAAACCCTCGAAACAGTAAAAAAGACTAAAGTATAACAAAACATCAACAGTACTTATTCAGTTTTGAATGGTAGAGTTCATCTTTTTTTGTTTTTTTGGTTTTTTTTCCTAATTTCTCTGTACTTTACAAGTTTTCTATAAGGAACATAAACTATTCTGATGACCTAGGGAAAAATTTAAAAATAAGTAGGTGCTTAATACTGAGAATTAAGTACTACATATAGCTCATGGTTCTTAAAACTCCCTCAAGAAGGTTTAAAATATGAGAAGGTAGTAATATTTTCACACTCGTTTTTTTTGTTTGTTTTTTACTGCCATTCTGGTATATTGTGTGCCATTTCAATTCTTAGTAGAAGGAAAAAGCATAACTTGCTATGATTAAATTCATAGACATTGAGTGCTACCTCTCAAAAGAAACCCTTTTCCATGATGACCTGGATCCCTTAGTACTTTCTGGCTCTTCCAAAAGTTCTCCTTGATGGGATTCTTTAAAACTCTGTCCAGTTTCAC